AGTCGAGCGCACAATCCATAGTCGCGGTGTGCCAATAGGCAATTAACCGGCTGCATAACTGTCTCACGCTTTGGCGGGTTGTCTAGTTATTGGTGAGATTTCACTATTGAAGTATTGATTCTGTGCATTTTTTGCCGCGCGAACTTCCAGTACCGTGTCGGCAGTATTAAAGCTTGAAAACGACTGCCAGAATAACTGACCAAAACACCGGCAACGTACCATCGACCAGTAGATACAATTCAGATGGCAAACCCAGTCTCTTTTGGGGAATTAAGTCAGCTATTTAACTCCTATAGCGTCGTTTTTCTAAAATGGACTTTTTAGGAGCAATGTACGCATTATCTTATTTTCAGGTTCGATTGACTAATCGGCTTTTTCCTAATTTGCATATTTCGGCACCCCTATTCTAAGGATGGAAAACATGGATCCAAAAATTGTTTTGGTTACCGGTGGGTCCGGCCTTGTTGGCCATGGAATCCGTCTAGCTCTTGAGTCGCACGGATTAAAACAACCCAAAGAGACTTGGATTTTTGCCTCTTCAAAAGACGTTGACCTTTGTGATTGGAACAAAACGCTAGAATACTTTCAAAAGATACATCCGACGCATGTAGTACACTTGGCAGCAAAGGTTGGAGGTCTGTTTGCCAACATGAGTGACAACTTGGGCTTCTTCGTAAGTTTTTTGGTGTTTGCCCCATTTTCTGTGTTTTCTCTACTTTCTCGGTCTAACTGTCTCTCTTCTGACCTATGGATTTTAATTCTCCCATTTCAGAGAACTAATATGCAAATAAATGATAATGTGCTGGAAGCGAGTGCCAAGACCGGCGTCAAAAAGGTCATATCTTGTCTTTCAACTTGCATCTTCCCCGACAAGACCACATATCCAATTGACGAGACGATGGTACACAATGGTCCCCCGCACTCTTCTAACTATGGCTATGCCTACGCAAAAAGGATGATTGACGTTATGAACCAGTAGGTTTTACTTTGCTTTTCATTATGTTTGCTTATGAAAACTCGGGAATAAAATGAACGTGAGTGTTCACGTTTCAGGTGTTTGCATCTCTAAAGGAGAAGATCGGTAATGCACCGGAAGAATTTGTACGTTATTGTGAGCTTTCGAGCGGGGGCAGGAGTTCATCCTCAGAGGTAGCTGCAGCAGCAAAAGGTCAACAATAAAAGGGGGTGCAAGCCACTCAATGATCAGTGATGCAAGGCGGGAGGTGACTGTGTAAAGCTCTGTTCGCCGGCGCCAAATCGATACATCAACCCAGCTATTGTTTAACGTACTGTCAGGGCGTGATTCGCGGACTCCTTTGCCGAAGTGCAATGTACTGCGCTCCAGGTCAGGTCAGGTTTTATTGAGGGAAATATAGGTAAATACCTTTGAAC